TTATCTTTTATGTATTAGAATTTATCATGTGCCGGCCCGAGTAAGCCATGAAACATTTACATGGAACATACTAGCTGAAGAACTAAATCTTTAAATTAGGCAGAGAAATGGCAGTGCTGCTATTTTCTCACTTTGCAAAGACCAAAGAGCCCTGTCTAATCTAAAGCAGCAGAACAATGAGTTTGTAATATATATTAATGGTATATCTCTTGTGTTGCTTATAGTACATTTACTTTTCTTGGTCTCCTTCCTCTGGTTTATATTGTGTTCTCTATTGTGTGTCCTTTATTTTGTTTTTTCCCCTTACCCTTACTTATCCCAGTCATTGTCAACCACTCCTGCACACACATACGCCTGGCAACTTTGCTCACACATACTTAGTACTTGAAGACCAAGTACAGACAGTCAGAAAGCCCGAGGCTGAATTGATTCAGTTTTTGCAGGTTCGTTTAAGCTGCAGAGATTAAACTGAGAAACAACTGGACACGCATTCACTTTTGATTCAGGAAATGCAGCCACGTGCCTGTAGTGACTCAGGCCAGAAGCTGGGGGACCACTAGAGCACAGCTCTCTGGCACATAGCCAGCATGGGCTGTGTGTTTGCAGTATCTTCTTGCTGTCCCCGAGGTCTCTGCGATTTGCAGTCCAGAATCAGAGCAGCAGGACTCTGTAGGGTTTCTTATCACTTCCTCTTCCTGCTTCCAGGTGCCTCTGGGATTTGTGGTCCATAGTCACAGCCAGCACTAAGGTTCACTAAGTTTAGCAGGGCAGCTCTGTGCTCAGGGGAAGGTAGGTTTAATCCCCTGTCCCTAACTGGCTTTATCTTAAACCAGTTTCAGCCATTATGAAACTGATTTATGTGCACTAAACTTCTGTTCTATTACAAGTTTAAACCAGTTTCTGATGACTTAAACCAAGTTTGTGTGTAATTTGCGTCTCAAGCTGAAATGCACCAGTTGCCTGCCAGTCAAAGGGCTGAGCTAACAAGTTGGACAACAGTGGAAAAAATAGGAGGGTCCTGGGCAATGGCTGGAAGGAAGGTCTTTGTGGTATTAGGAGTGTACTGAGGTTCCTTCTAGAGCAGGGGTTGGCAACGTGTAGCCTGCGGGCCAAATCCAGGTTGCAAAAAGATTTGAATCTGGCCTAGATTTTACTAACAGTGCACTGATCCCCTACTGCTGTCCAGACATCCAATCTGGCCCAAGATTGGTCTTTCAGGGTTGCCTTAACGATCTCCTACTGCCTCCCTAGCTGTCCCTGTTCTCTGAAGAACTGCTCTTTTGCTCTCCCACTGCTGTCTCTGTTAACCATCGCTGACAAATTAGCTGCTTCAAATGGCTCAGCACGTTTTGGCAGAGGCTGCAATTAGAGGGGTGAGAGAGCAGCTGCAGCAGGTGATCCCTAGCCTGTCCATTAGTAAAAGGTTGCCAACCCCTGTCCTAGGGAGCCTTTCTTGGATCTTGTTTAAGATCTAGGTTATTTCATATTGAATTCTGCTTAGCTGGCTACTGAGTAAATTTGAATTGACTTTCCAATTTCTTCAGTTACTGAAAGTATGAATGAGGTGGGGGTTAGGGGGTTGTGTGTGTGTTTGTTTTCCCCTTAACCTCATATCCTTATCTCAGAAATACGGGGGGGCGGGGGGGGCTTTGGTTGGAATTGTTTCTCTATTTATGCAGCCTCCTTTTATGTGGTGTTCCTAGTTTCCTAGTGAATAGCTCCACTGTTGTCTGTGGTGCCTTTTGAAGACCTGCTGAAGCTGCAGCAACAAAATGAAAATCACCTAATTAATATCAATTTCAGGGATGGCCATGGCTTTGTAGAAAACAGCAGAGAAAATGGCTAGAACTTTTCATTTTTTTCTGAGAGGTACTGGAGCTGTTGCCAAATGTGGGAAGACACATTTTACATTCCTCCATATGCCTTAGGTTCAGTTTTCAAGTTCTGGGGTTTGGAAAGAAATGATACCTTTGTTCAATAAAGGCAGTAAGCAGCAAGTGAACTACTTTGGTTATGTTTGGAAGAGTACTTTCAAAGCCATAGAGATAAAAGCAGGAAGTTACAGGGATAGAAGGATAAAGAGCCATCTCTGCAGCCTCCCCCTGCTTTCATGGCTCACCTTGTCAGGCTGCTGGCTCCATCTCTGATTTGAAGTAAAATAGTTTCTGGTCTCCAGTGCTTGTCTGGTAGGTACAGTCACCAGTGCTTATGACTACCTAAGAAACTCCTGGGCTAAGTACAGAGAGTCAAAAATCCTGAGACTGAATTGCTTCAGGCTTTACAGGTTAGTCTAAGCTCTATAGATTGAACCAGTAAGCAAGTGACGGACATTCACTTGTGATCTTGGAAATGCAGGCACATGCCTGCAGTGGTTCAGGCCAAAAGCCAGGAGGTGCTAGAGCATGGCTTCCTGCTCTGCTGGAGCACACAGCTTAGGCCAAGGCTATCCTGCCTGCCCTGGGGTGGGTGGCAGTGGGGTGAAGGGGGCTGAGGTGCAAAGCAACCTGGGATCCTGGGGGACTGTGAGTTAACTTGAATCTGTAGGGGATCTGTGATAGAAGTTCAAGAAACTTTTGTCGTCATTGTCCTGTCTCCAATCCAACCTTCCTATGCAGTCTGTTCCCAATATTCTGCACAGGCCACTGCTTCTGGTGTTGTTGATAGATCTTGTCAGGGGGCATTGTGGTGCTACAGGGCATCTCAGAAGATGATCCATGGTTCGCTTCTCCTGACAAACACATTGATCAGTTGTATGATTTCATGAGAAAGTTGCATCTTCTGAGACCCACTCTCAATCCGTTCAGGCTCCTCCATGGGTGCCATTTGTAGTTGAAGCCTATGCTAACTCCTCACTGGCAGTAATTCCTTGCTAGCTCCATTCAACAGCTTTGTCACCTAGTTTCTCCCATTCTTTTTGCCAGAGGGTAAGTCTGGCTGATTCTGGTGATGTGATCAATGGTGTGGTAGAGGACAAAAAACCTATTTCTTGATCAGAGATCACGGTGTACTGCTTGATGCCCGTATAGTGGGTAGCGGTCGTCTGACTCTTGTACCTGGCAGTTAATGTAGCCTGCTACTTTCATAGATTTCATAGACATTAGGGCTGGAAGGGACCTTGGAAGATCGAGTCCAGCCCCCCGCCTGAAGGGCAGGAAGTCAGTTGGGGTCATAGGATCCCAGCAAGATAGGCATCCAATTTACTCTTGAAGGTGTTCAATGTAGATGCTTGAACCAGCTCCGATGGCATGCTATTCCAGACCTTGGGGGCTCGGACAGTAAAGAAATTCTTCCTTATGTCCAGCCTGAAATGGTCTTGCAGTAGTTTATAACCGTTCGACCTTGTCATGCCTTGGGGTGCTCTGGTGAACAAACGTTCCCCCAGATACTGATGGTCACCCCTGATAAACTTATAGGTGGCATCAGATCACCCCTGAGCCTACGCTTTTCCAGGCTAAAGAGCCTCATAGATCTTAGCCTGTCGTTGTAAGGTCTGTTTTCCTGACCTCTGATCATGCGCGTGGCTCTTCTCTGGACTCTCTCATGCTTCTCCACATCCCTTTTGAATTGTGGGGCCCAAAACTGGACGCAGTACTCCAGCTGCGGCCTCACCAAGGCCGAGTACAAGGGGAGAATGACGTCCCGGGATTTGCTTGAGAAGCATCTATGGATGCAAGCCAGCATTTT